GAAATAGCTTCATGGTCTAAGTGCCTGCTGGCAAGCGCAAGGACCTGGGTTTGATTGCTGGTACCACACGCCATGCTGGCCCTGGAACCCGGGTGTGCTGTGCTGGCCACCGAGACCTGGCGTGGTGGTGCGTGCCTGTAATCCCAGCCCTGGGGGCGCTGAGACAGGAGGATCACTACATGTCTGAGCTGTGTAGTGAGACCCTGTACCAAATAAATAAACAAAAGATTAAAAATCAAAACCAAAACAAAACAAGAATCCAGTCTGGGCAATTTAGTAACTTGGTAAGACCTTGTTCCCAAATTGGAAACAAAAATGTGGTTGGGGAGAACTCAGTGTGAAGGCCCTGGATTCAATCCTCCTCCCAGTACTGCTGAAGAAAGAAAAGAAAAGAAAAGAAAAGAAAAGAAAAGAAAAGAAAAGAAAAGAAGAGAAGAGAAAAGAAAGAGAGAAAGAAAGAAAAGACAGAGAAATAAAAGGTTTGCCAGCTCTGGGAATTTTATAGTCCCCTTCATTGGCAGATCCCCTGAAGCAATTTAATGAATTTAATGAGTGTGTGCCACCCCGGGCACCAGGGGCGCTGAGCTGGTGAGAAGCGACCATGCAGGGGGCGCCACAGTGCAGTTAAGTCCCTGGCAGGTGCCTTTGAGGGTCAGTGAGCTTACCTGCTGCAGGGACCGATGAGGACTGGGTGGCCACAGAGATGGACAGGGGCCCCACCCTCGGCCCGCCTTGCTATGGGTCCTGCCTTCTCCCCTGTGCACACTTCCACACTCACTCACTCCTGTACACTCAGTTCCACACCCACTGAGTCCCGCATACACTCACTCCTGTGCACTACCATACACTTAGTCCTGTGCCCACCATACACTTAGTCCTGCGCACACTCACTCCCCATGCATACTCACTCCTGTACAGTCAATCCTGTGCCCACTGAGTCTTGTACACACTCCCATACACTTAGTCCCGTGCCCAGTCCCACACACACTCACTCCCATACACTCAGTCCTGTGCCGTCCTGCACACACTCACTCCCACAACACTCCTGTACACTCAGTCCTGTGCCCACTGAGTCCCACACACACCTACTCCCATACACTCCATCCCATGCCCACTGAGTCCTGTGCACACTCCTGTACACTCAGTCCCGTGCCCAGAGTCCCATACACACTCACTCCCACACACACTCCTGTACACTCAGTCCTGTGCCCAGAGTCCCACACACACTCACTCCCATACACACTCCTGTACACTCAGTCCCTTGCCCACTGAGTCCTGCGCACACTCATTCCCATACACTCAGTCCCGTGCCCACTGAGTCCTGCGCACCCTCATTCCCGTACACTCAGTTCTGTGCCTGCTGAGTCCTGTTCACATCACTGCCATGCACACTCACTCCTGTACACTCAGTCCCATGCCCAGAGTCCCGCATATACTCACTCCTGCACATATTCCCGCACACTCACTCCCATACACTCAGTCCCATGCACATTGAGTCCTGCACATACTCCCACTCCTGCACACGCCCACACACTCACTCTCACACACTCCTGCATACTCACTCTTGCACTCCTGCACACACTCACTGTTGCTCACTTCCTCCTTCATCTGTGACACACTTTGTGGTCTTACAAGCAATTTTCGAGCAGGGGCAAAGCAGAGAAAGTATCTCCTGACTGTCCCATCACCCCTGTCTGGCTGCCCTCACTACAGTGACCTCTGAGGGAGACCGATGACTCTTGTACCTCTGAGTTTTGGTTTTAGAGTGGTGCCAGCAGGATACCTCCAGTGGGAAGTGGTCTTGGCCAGGCTAGGCTTTGGGCAGCCCCAAGGCCAGTTCCTGGCAGGCAGGTGCTCAGCCGGAAGCCAGCCTGCGGACTCAGCGCTCCCTCCCCACCTCGGTGAGGCCAGCTTTTCCCGGCTGTAGGCTGAGCCAGCACATCCGAGGTGGCCGGGGCTACACTATGCCATTCTGTGGGCTCGGTGTGTTAAACACATCTTAACCAAATAACACTGGTATCCCATCATTAAAATTAAAAGTTATACCTCCACCATGAGCCAGGAGCACCTGTACTTAGGCTTCAAGTGTAGCTGCTCCGTGGGCCTCTGCGAGTCCTCAGCCGGGCCGGCTGCCCTTCTCCTGCTACCCACACTGGTGCCCTTCTCACATTACACTCTGTGTCAGCTATGTCTCCTCTTACAGACTTCCCGAGGTGGCGAGTGCGTGTCACTTCACTTGTATGCCCACGGCTGCCACAGACAGTGGGTCAGGCTCTACACTGCCCTAGCACACTGGCCGGATGAGGACCACCAGCCAGATCTGCACAGAGTACAGGGCTGCACCTAAGCCTTTTCTAATCTGTACAAAGCCACACATGGGACATCAGTGCGTCCCATGCATATCATAGAGCTTGTTAGGGAGTTAGGACATAATGTTATAGTGGATTTTCATTAAATGCTAAGTTAAAGCTCGGTGTGGTGGTGTACATCTATAAACTCAGCGCTCTAGATGGCTGGGGCAGGAGGATCTCAAGTCTGAGCCCCGCCTGGGTACTTTAGAGACTATGTCTCAAAATAAAAAAATAAGAAAGTCTGGGGATATATCTCAGTGCAAAGCTCTTGGGTTCCATCTCCAAAAAACAAATGAGTAAAGGAGAGATGGACATAGTGGGCTGCAGTTCCTGGGAACATGATGGGGCGGAGCTGGTGGCATCCAAGGAACAGGACTGAATTAGACTGAGGTCAACCTGCAGAGGGTCCCTGACATTGGGCCGGGGGCCTTGCTCTGCAGGAGGCCCTGTAGAACTCAGAGAATGTTCACTTAGATTGTAATTTGGGGTTGTGAAATTGAAAGCTTGAAATCGAGGCATGGAATTAAATGACTTGTTTAAAGGTGCAGAGAAAGTTACTGGCAGCACCTGGAATTAAGCCAGACCTCCCTTTCCTTCCTTCCTTCCTTCCTTCCTTCCTTCCTTCCTTCCTTCCTTCCTTCCTT